AGTAAACAAAGAAGATATGCAACCCCAAACATCTATACAAGCAGAACCACTTCTTCTACAACTACCATTTCTACCTTCCAAAACACTTTTAAGTCTATCCATCATTTCTTGCTCGGTAAACATCTTTCCTGGCGAACCGACGTACGCGGTTCGTCTTATAGGAGGCGACCATATACCACTTTGCTCGTAATCGAACTCGAACTCGAATGCATCGAAATACTTCTCTAGGAGTCTCTCACTTTTCGATTTCGAAACCAGTTGAACTTTCATACCACCACATTTTGGTGTTGAGTTTGATGTTGAAGAAGTTGAAGCCTCTTCTACTTCATAGATTATTGACATTAATATAGTGTAATAATGTAATATGGTAACACATATATATATGAAATAAATAAACTAAGCTAGCTTATTTTTATTCCTAGTTTTTTAGGCATTAAGAAATATGATTAATAATATTATAATTATTTTGGGGGGAATATAATTGAGATTCTTGAGATTGAGAAGGAGACAGGAAATTGGAGGGGTGTGTATGGATGGATATATATGTAATGGGGGGAATTATTAAAGGACTTTGTTATGATAAAGACGTGTATGGCTGGCTGCTATCAATGATTATACAGGACGTGGGTAGTCAAGTTTTGAGCATGTTATTTTGTAGGACACTTTTTGATTTTGTTTTCAGAGTAATTTCGGGTTTAATATGGATTCTCGTCTCCTTACCATTAAAAATAATTGAATCGCTAAATACCGTTAATGAAATTTTTAAATCGCTTACGAGTAAAAAATATAGGTGTTAGATATCACCATAAAAAATATCAAAATCGTTAATATTTAGTGTGAATGGACAACCATGTCTTTAGTACTTCACCACTATTTTCCCTCTTGCCACCAATCACTAACACCTTGACACCACCACCCTAATCGGCGACGACCACCACCACCACCAGCGACAACCACCACCATTGTGACTGGCAACTACCACACTACCACACTGACCGACGACCCACCACATCCCTCTCAATGACGACCTACCACCTTCCCTCGCTGGCGGGAAGGTGGTGGTTTTTTTTATTTCTTGCAACCGCACCAACCGAAGCCTAAAACCAGTTACCAAAACCGGTTACCGTGCACGGTAACCAATTTTGGGCCCCGGTTTGTACGGCTGCCGGAAATGAAAAAAACCACCACTTTCTCGCCGACTAGGGAAGATGGTGGGTCATCATTGAGGGGGATGTGGTGGGTCGTCGATCAGAGTGGTGGTGGTCGTCGTCGGTTAGAAGGGTTGCTAGGTTGCTGAGGAGGATAAGGTGTGGTGAAGTAGTAAGGGCATAGTTGTCCATTCACATTAAGTGTTGGCGATGGTGATCATTTTTTATAGCGGTATTTAGCAATCCGCCTAAAAAAAGGTTGGGATAGTGAAATAGTGTCTAATTAGATACTATTAAAGCTTAGTTAAGCTGTCCAAATGGGTGTGGGATAGTGTCTAATATCTCTTCCTATATCAAATTCCTGTGTTCTAAGGATCAAGTTTCAAAGACCAGGTTTTCTTATCTCTCTCTTTCTCAAGTGATATTGATTGACGCCTTATATTCTTGTGGTTTAGGGATCAAATCCCATGTGACTTATTTGACGGATTTTCCTTTTCAATTCCTTGAGTGAGTTTATTTCTTCATACATTTAAATAAAATATAAAAATAAATTAATACATGTAGTTTAAGGGTTTGTACTATTATAAGACACCAATAAAGCTAAACTCATGCTCCCATACCTAATTCAGGTGACTCTATACATCCCATAACCTCGGAAAATGATTTTGGCACACCTCTATGTGAGAGCACAATTTTCTATGTTTTTCTCACATAAGAGTGTGCCAAAATCAATTAAGAATGTGCCAAAATCAATTTCCCACAACCTCATATAGCCATATGTACAATCTTATTGATTGTAATATTATTATTGATTGATTAGGCTTTTAATGTCCATTTGATGGACCCAAATTAGGCATCCAATGACTAATTATCTAAACGTGATGGTATATATGTCAATTGTCCTACAGCTAGTCTTTTTTGTTTTTCTTGATTTGGAGAGCAACGTAAGTTAATTTGCTTACTAATTTACTATGCTCTTTTTTAAAAAAAAATAATAAAAAAAATTAATAAGTGTAGATATTGATATTATAGATGGTTAAACTATTTTGATGATGTCTATAATTTGATATCAAATCTGTTTGAGTCCTACAAAAAAGTTTGTGATATCTTGAATTATTTTAATTACTTAATCAACGTAAGTGAAGGCTATATCCTAACTTCCTGTCTATTTTAATTTTGAAATTAATAAACGTCCACTATTCTACTTAGAAATGAGAATATGAGATGATCAAATTGATAGAAAATAGGTATAGGACGAGTAGGCAATTAGGACATGTCACTATCATGATTTGAGATTTATGAACTTTTATGCTATCTTACACAAGTTAAAACATTATTATTTCTATTTAAAATTAGTAAATATTATAAAAAGATCATATATTGAAAACTTATTTCAAAGTTTTCATATCATTATATAATTCATTTTATATAAATATAAAATAAAATTTATGAATAATATAAGAATAATGGAAACGTTACAAATTTTTTTTATTACGGAGTAGTAAAGGTTGTATTATGGTTGATCGCTAAGTAAATTCCTAAGTCCTTTTCTTTTTCTATTTTATTACTTCGTATTTGATAAGAGGGTTTTTTTTTTTTCTTCACAAAATCTAACTATTAGACACCAAAAACAATAAATTGAGAGGAGATTAAATCGAAGATATAAGAGTTACTTTGAGGTTTAGAAGTTGCTAATATGACTGTAAAGTTAAATTAATGCTTGATTTGAAAATAAGTTAATTAGTTGATTAATTAATGCAAACAACACTAGAGAGAAGAACTAGCACATCGAAGGAGTAGATAGAGGGAATCCATCCAAAACAATTAACCATCATACTATGGGCATTGCAAGGAAATAAATTTGGCCAACACTTAAATTTCTAAGACTATATCCTAACTTGAAACTAATAAAGAGTGATAGTCGACCAAACTAGATTACTTCTTTCAAATTTATCTCCAAGTATGGTTTAAAGGTCCCAACTTGTCACATAATACAAAAGAGAACTATCATGTCATTAATTAATCAATTTAATCATACAATAATAAACATTTAAATGTATCATAACATCAACTTTAATTTGGTGTTAACTTTCAACCAGCAACTAATTTAAAGGTATAAAGATTCTAGATATTAAATGACCACCATTATAACTAGCAAGTATAGATTATTTGTGCATGGAAATAACTAACAATCCACCTAAACCAATCTTCAACTAATTAATGACCGTATAAAATCCATAACTAGTCTTATAACCCGTGAACCACATGGACTATTGTGTCATTAGACAGAAGAAAATACAACTTGTTTTGATTAAAAAAAAAAAATGGTCTAGACGAAGACTTTTACTAGTAGACCGCTGAAGATGAGCTTATCCAATCATAATTGGGCCGAAAATATATACCTATAAAAGGTAATATGTTAACTGGTTTCGGGGGTGTGTTCGAGAAAGTCCCTCCAATACCTAAGTTAAGACGTGTAGAAAATAGTCAAAATACTAAAGAGACTATTGAATGATAGTGCAAGTACAATAAATGCTAGGAATATTTGAATTCCTTGAGAAAATGTAAATTTGGTTATTTATACAATTATACATTTATATCCGTGGGGTAGTAAATAGCGTGGATCCAAAGAGCACATAGACTTGCCATGGACATTTGATCTGAGCATGAGTAGCTTTGGACTTAAAGCACAGAAAAGCTTTTTTGAACTACTTATGTCCATTTAACGAGAGACCTAAAATAGGAGCCATTTTGATACCCAAACACAACGTAATCGATAGGGGGAAGGGAAAGGAGTAAAGGGGGAGTAAAATCAATTTAAATAAAATAAAATCAAAGAAGGGAGTGAATAGATACTAATGTACAATGTGATATCTAGACTCTAGTTGATCTCAATATTTGTCAATTAAGTTAAATTTTTTATTGGGTACAAAATTGGCCCAAGAATAGTACTAATAAGAGATTGATTCTTCTAGTTTTGCCATTTTGGTATTATGGTCGGCAACAATACTCAATCACTTAATTAATATACATTGTAATTATGACAATAGATTAATAACCACCATGATTCTGAATTAGTCATTAAATAAAAAATTTATTAATTGGAAAGCACTTCACACCCTACCTATACAACATACTCTACGATTTAATTATTAAGAAAAATACTTATATAACATTACAAAATAAACAATGTAAGATGAAATCGTAGTATATATATACAATCGAGTAAGCATCCAAGAATGTGCTTATATACAAAGAAGGAAGACTTTTCCCCCCAAGATACTATGATATTATTATCTTCTTCCTCAAGATTATCTCTTTATTGATCGAGAAAATCACAAGCAAGCCAAATCATGATTAAAAACATCAACATTAAACGACTAACACAATACGTGCACCGTAATACTAGAATGATTAGTTTAAAAAGGTAGAATATATAATCCACCCATTAACTTACTTGGTTATCTTTGTAAACCAAAATCAATTAAGATACAAATCATTACTCGTACCAAAACTGATGTGAATCAAGAGGGAAATTCTTTTGAAGAGCCAATCATATTGGTTTTAAGTCCACTAGGGTTCGAGCTTGGAGTAAAGAATCAAGAATGGTTAACATGCGCAGCCATTGAAGAAGAAGTCAAGGACCAGTTGGGTTCCGACGACGGAAACGGCGGCGACGTGCCGATCTGGTGGTGGTGGTTCGTCGGCAATACGAAAAGAAAGATTTTCCGACGAACCACCACCACACGCGCCGCCAACATCGACACGCGCCCCACCAAAAACAATTATTATCAACCTTAGCTAAACAAAAGTGTGTAGTAGATCCAAAACAACATTTCACTTGACAAGTCTTCAAAAGGTAACAAGAATGAAAATTGACCCCTTTGCCTTGAACAAGTACACCCCACAATCTTGTTGCAGAAGAAGAAGATACCATAATTGATCCCTCATTAAAATTATCCTTATAAATATTATCACTATTACTAGCTGAAGAAGAATCCGAGCACCAAAATTTGTCTTGATATTCTTGTTTGGTAGTTTTAAACTCAAGTTCTTCAACCAAGATAATACCATTAGGAATAGTACTATAACCACTGTTCTCCCACCTATGTTTGATCTTTGTCCAACTATCAAACGACGTCGTTTCTCTATTACAAATTTCACATTGGTGGTTGATGATGATGATAATTTAGAAGTTTTTTTGGGCCCATTTTCTGTGTAGATATGCACTAACAATGGTGCTTCACCGACGTTCTTCACAATCTATGACACAATTATACAATAGTAGAAGTATATAATATGATCAAATTTATGGATATATATGGAATATTGTTATAAAATAGTATATATAGATGATAAAGTATGAACATCACATTGTAGTTGCTACCTGTCCTACCTAAAGAAACAATGATAACAGCTAATGGGTGTGTTTTTTATACTTCCTAGTTCCTACTAGTTTTTGTTTTTGTCGCATGTTAAATAATTCAAATCGTTTGGAAAGCTTCTAAATTACGAAGTACGGAGTACAATTTAAGGTAATAAAAGCACTTGGAGTATGTACCATCCTAAAGTTTTGTAATTTTTATATTAATTTGTCTAAATTAAATCTAATTTTAAATCAGCGTGTTTTATGTGCGGTTGATCACATCATTTGATCGTTTGTAAAAGAACAAAGCTACCCCTATAACACTGATCAAGTAACCCCTAAAACATTGATCGAGTAACCTTGTAACCTCGTCAAAGTAATCCCTGTAAATTTGTAAACTAATGAAATAGCCCCCTATGGTGGCTGGCCACATCGTGTGGCCAACCACATATAAAAAGTTGTATTTTTCTTATGTCATTAACTATCTTATTAATTTCAAGTTCTTATTAATTTCACAAATTGAATTATTTTTTCCATTAAATTATCAATTTCATCTCTTTTTTTCAGATGTTGTTGTCAAACACAACCTAAATCAGTTAGATTTAGTTTATTCAAATCACTTAGGGGAAATTAACTTCCTTTTAAAGAGAAGAACATATATAACTATTAACTAAGGAACCATTAGCCTTAGAACTATGAGTGCTTAGGTCACACTAATATGGTATAAAGTTTGTTTAAGAAAATTTGAGTTTTAAATTTTAAACCTTAAATTGTACAAGGTATGAAATTTAGAAACCCAGTAAGAATATGAGAAAGAGGTGGGTGTGATTTAATCTATACCGAACTTTTTTATTTATTTATGATTCAAAACTCATACTCAGTTTTATTCATATACATCCCCAAGTCTAGATTAGATTACATATATCACTAATGTAGCATTATTATTACATTAAATATCCCTAGCTTTGAAAGGGTTTTAAAATGCATAACCATACCATAACATGATCTGATCTGCTTATTCAATTATCTCAAAATATCAATTCAAATTTATTCTAGTGGTAAGAATTGCGCTTTTTTAGTCTTGAGGCTGGGTTATCAATCCCTATTAGGGATACTTTGTGAATGGAGAATTGACAATTCCTTACCTTTCCCCCCTTCACTTTTAAAGTATCTAATCCGCTAATTCGAACCAGGTAGCTTAGAACTGTAAAAGGTGACAATTCCTCTTTACCTTAATACCTTATTCAAAAAGTAAAACCCTACTTAAAATGAGGTACTTTACCTTATATTTGACATCATTTTACCAATCTCATGGTCATCTTTCTTTAATTCCATGGTAATCATTCTTCTTTTAGGAGTGACCGTGGGACAAGGTCACTATTAATTTTGTGGGGCTTTAGATTCAGATGCCTTGTCTAAGATGGATAATATACACGGTATATGTACGAAGTACTTCGTATTGTGCAATGATGTAGTTATATATATTGCAATAATTTCGTCGATTATAACCCAAATTATTGCATGTTTAATTATCCATTATAATAAGCATAGAAATTATTGGTCACTATCAATTGTGGTAGTGGGACATATCCTATAGTCGAATTCAAAAATTAGCTAGAGCCCATGAAAAATTTGAAAATTGTTACTAAAGCAATCGTGGAATTTAATTTACATGTAAGATTCTTTATTATTGTTGTTTTACAAAATTGTCAACTATTTGTCTTCTCAACTTGTGGAATCTTGACTAACTTAACATTTTGGGATATGTATGCCCCCAAATTCATTTCCAAATTAGAAGATCCGAAAACTAAAGATGCTTGGTACAAGTAGCCCGACCCAAAAAACTGTGGGTTTAGTTAGTTTCAGTGGTAGTCGTCGTCCACTTCACCTTATTTTTACTGAATTGAAATTATTTTTACTGAACTGAAATTATTTTTGCTGAACTGAAATTATTTTTACTGATTTTTCTATTATATTTCTTCTTTAAAATTATTGATTTTTACTGAACTAAAATTAATTTTACTGAACTGAACTTATTTTTATTAAACTGAAATTATTTTTATTGAACTTAAATTATTTTTACACAAAATTATTTTTTTAAGGTTAAGTGAACAAGGTCTTAGCATGATTTTTGAGCTACAGTTTGACATGATCTAATGATTAATCAATCGTATATTTTGTTTAAAAAAAAAAAAATACTCCGTATATTTAATCAATTATTTTTTTTCAAAGTAAAATCAATACGTAAATAGAATTGAAACTATGTGTAGCTTATATAGCTATACCTAATCACAATTTCACCTTTTCACCCATTTATGGACATTTTTCTATCTTAACAAAAAAAAAAAAAACCGTTATCTTTATAGACAATGACTTTTAATTAATAAATTATAATTTTGTACCCTTATGGATAATATGACGAGGATAAGTAATACAAAGGACATAGCTAAGAATCTAAGATAAACTAACCTCGGTAACGGAATTATGCAACCAATGTTCATGTTGTTCAGCAACAATTCTGTTGCTATCACCTCTCCCATTAATCATTCCATCTACCACTCCATTTAATCCTTCATCATCATGGTAGTCACCACTAATACCAATACCAATTGTAGCTTTAACATAAAGGTTCTTCCTTAGCATAACACCACAATGCCCCTTACCAATGTTACAATATCTCAAGTTCTCAACATATTACACCCTTGGAAGTCTCTATGCCACCACCCTCGTCGATTGTTTGTACCAATTTCTAGCCATTGTCATCATTGATGAACCCTTGATGAACTCCGCCAAAACAAGTTGTCAATCTTGTCATTGTCATCATTGTCTCCGTTTCAACGTGTAATCATCAACACTATCCGATTAATTTCGTTGGCATTCCAATGTTGGTACGTACACTAGCTAGCCTCTAGTCCTCTAGGATGGTTTTCTTTTTTTTTTTTTTTTTTTTTTTTTTTTTTTTTTTTTTGTTTTGTTTTTTTGTTAAGGAGGTTAATATATGATTGGAGAAATTCTAAGTTTGACAAGCCTAGATATTGTGAATTTGTAAGCAAATTGAGATTTTAGAATTTGAATCATTAAATGACAACTTTGATTACTATAGAAATTAAAGGAGGAAGATAACATTTGCTTGTGTTATGTTACACGTTCTTGCTTGTGATTTTCTTTAGCCTTTTGCGTGAATTTGTTGGTCTAGCTTTTGCCATCTTTGCATTGAATTCCACGTTAGATCAAAACATATTTTGACAATGTAAAACGTGACGTTTTGAGCTAGAAGTATTGTCTTTTATTCTGAGGTGTTGCGTTTTGCTTGTGTCATACACGAGTTTTGCTCACATTGTTGTATGCATCCTTTTGTCGAAATTTATGATCATGTCCCTATGAATTTTCAATTGTATCAAGGTCAAAATAAATGGCCGAACTAGATTACAACAATGAAAATTGCTTTAACAAATGAGTCGTGTCGTGTCATGTCATGTTATAGGCAATTTTTATTAAAGTGGTCACCATCTATACATAACAAAACTGATGCAAACTGACTGCTTGAGAAGAGGATCGAAGTTGATATGAGTTATTCCCTGGCTAGAAATTTATCTTAAGACTACAATTAAATTTGTATTGGAATTGCTGTGAACAGCTACTGATGAGTTTTAATACTCTTATCTTCTGAAACTCATGAATGCCAATGTTAATATTCACTAAATTAACCTCAGAATTGAGATGCATGACTTGTAGTGGACTCGGACCGTGGAATGTCTGGATAGAGAGATAGTGTACAGAAGTTTTCAGCAAACCAGATACTCCATACATACATATACCGATATACAAGTTTGCTGAGTGTGTTTTCATATATTCACGCTGTGGTTCTTTCAAGTTACAATGACCACTACATCTAGCTATTCATTGCTAAGTATTATTTGTAATGCAATAATGCTTCACAAGGTAGTGATTATTTATACGCAAGCTAGGGAAAAACTATAGACCATTGGACAGAATCAAGTTGCCTGACGAATCTGGTCTGCTCGGGTTCCCTTTCCCCTTGGCAGATAGAGCTGTACATGCATACAAGTCATGGAGTCACAACTGACACTTCAGCTAATCATAAACCATTTGCTGGACATGTTTTAGCTGATCATGTAAATCGAATTTTGTCCTCAGCTTATTCTGATTGCTTCAGTACAGCTAACTACACTTCCTGCAACAGTAGGATAAACCACTTATAAGAAAATGTTCAATTAAGTACAAAGTATGAATTTGAAAGAAGCAGAAAGAAAAGGTGCAATAGCTGTTATACACTTATACGGCTTGAGACAGTCTGGTATACCATTGTAAAACACTAAAAGTAGAGATCACACAGTTGAGACTGTTTTTTGTTCCAGGAGTTCTTTCCCAGTAATTCCTTCCTTCAATATCTTAAAGAAAACTTCATAATCCTTTTCTGGAGGCGGGTTGTTAGGGTCAACTGTGAATGGCTCACTGAAAGGAACAGCGCTTTTCACCTGTGAGAATAACATGTCAAATGATTCGGTGACACCCAGCGTAACTGCTTAAGCAAAGCACAGCTAATACTATAATTCTCAAATAAACTAATTAAGATTAAGGCTTTGAGGATTCTAAGGAGCTTAGAAATCATTTCATACATAAGAGCCTCTTATAACCATGAAATTCATGACAGTAAGGGCTAGAAGAAAGTTACTGGAAAGGTCCACCAAAAATAAGACGGAATATTTGAGTTGGCACGACCAAGATAGCTGACTTATAATTCTTGCATAAGTTTATTCCCTGAGACACAAAGTACTTTGTATATCATAAGAACTAAGAAGCACATGCACGGGTAAAATGTCTACATATCTAGCCCTCAAACTAGCTTGACTCGTTAGAGCACATACAAAGCAAAATGAAATTTTTTTGATATCAGAAGTTTTCTAAAGTGTTACCTCAAATGTCTTGTTGCATGCATGTGGACTCTCTAAAGCAGCAACACATACTCGAGCTACCTCTTCCCTGGATATTTTTCCCTGTGATAAACCAAATATGTTATGTTTAGAGAAAGAAGTGCCGATAATTACTGCTGACTTGATTTTGACTACTATTAGAAAACGATGAAACAAATCCAGAAACAAAGAATAACAGATCCAATGTGCAAGAGTGAGAGAGAACCGTGATATTATCCCCCTGGTCAAATATAAGATCTGCTCCAGCAGGTTCTTCTGTCAATGCACAAGGCCTAACAATTGCATAAGGGATTCCACTCTCACGCAACAAATCTTCTCCCTGAGTTTCACATAAATAAATAAACTATCATTAGAAGCCAAGAAGCAAAGAGGTTAATAGTTGGTCTAGGTGCAGTTTTCAAAATCCAAACTGTACAAAAGGTAAGCTCATTTAATAATCCTAACAGCCTATTCGGAAAATGGTATTATTTGGTATAATGGTGACGAGTTCATTTAAAAGTTAGCAAAAAAAGTCTAAAGCTGATGTCCATGTTAATGCTTGTTCATCCTCAAATTTCTTTCTAAATTAATAAAACCACTCAAAAAGAGCGGTAATGGATGGTATTACGGTAATGAAAACCCATATACTACAGCCTACCATTTGGGCTGTTAATGTTATGAAAACACCCAAAGAAGGATAATAATCAACCTTCAGTTTGTATGTGAGAATGAAGTCTAGTTCCTTGTTCAAACGGACAGCAGGAGGCTGCGTACTCAGATCAAGTCCAGGCCTATCAGGGCGGGTAACTCCTGCAGAGCTCACATGGACAAATCTACACATAATGCAAGAATGAACAATAAGATATAAAGGAAAAACACTTAGCACTACATTTAGAGCTACAAAATCAAAGCTCAAAGTTGTAGACCTTGGTGCAATTGGTTCTTGCATGTATGCCCTTATTGCTGACAGAGGAAGCTGGAAAGGGCCTTCTACAAAAGTTGGATTCAGTTTTCCATCATATTCAAACTTACTGAACATTAGCTGGGACAAGATAATAATGTCAGTCGTCAGAAATATCCTTTTATTAACTTCACAGAAATTAAAGAATTTTTTTTATTATACTATAGTAAGAAGGGGGGTAGGGGATCTGGAGAGCACCTGCAGTGAGATAATATTGCGTGCATCAAAGGGCGGAGCGTCGGAGACTGTCCGGGCTCTGAATATAGGCCTTAATGAGGAGAATGGTACTTTTATCTGGAAGCACCAAGATATGAGTAAGAATCTAATCAGCAAATGCATTCAATAACCAATCTGTAATAAGTGATTGTCACGTACTGATTGCCATTGTCCCTCCATTGTGTCAAAACCTGCTGTATAACCTACAGTATCCCAATCACTGCTAGTGCGAATAATGAGTTTATATCTACGACCGTCACCTTTAAGTCGTAGCTCCAAACCATCATAAGCTGAAAGATCCTCGGGCACCGCAAAATTCTAGAAAAAATTACATAAAAGCATTCAACCAAAACATATAAGTAATAATGTGGAGTAGAGCAACAAAGTATGATGTTCTTTGTCCAGACACAAGTCAAGATGGAGCGAGAGAAACAATCAAGGAATAAATGAATCAGGTATACCACGTAGACTGTGAAAGTAACTCTAAAGACAGTAAAAGTGATCAAGAAACTGATTATCAAGAGATTGGATATAGACACACAATACTAAGCTCCATTGTGGAGCATTAAATATACAATGATAAACATACCAGGGAATGATCAACCACATCTTCATAGGAGCTAAATGACCAACTCATTATCAGTCTCCAATGTTTATATGATACTCTCCCTCTTCTACATCTATTGTCAGAATGTTTATATGAACAAGAAATTCTCAACACTCCTAGAACTTAGTCATAAATCTCATTCTATAGGAGCCAAGGACCCTCTCAAGCGCAAATCATTCAAATCACATCATCTAGGCAATTTTTACTTTTTCAATATTGCTTTTTAAAATCACCGACTATATACACATTTAAACTTGATTAGTAGCTTAGAAATTTGAAAATACAGTCCCTTTCATTACAACTTCATCCCTCTGCAAAAATCCCGGAAAGTTTAAGGTGTTGTTTGGTTGGAGATAAAAGATATGGGAAATTCCATTTCCTAGGAAATAGGATATGGGAGTGTTAGTTTGGTTGACACAATTTTATCAAATTGGGGGAAATGGAATTTCCAAGGGAAGTTGCAATCCCCATGGAACATGGGAATTCACTTACCAAGCCCCCCCTTGGTAAGTCACATTTCCCATGGTTATTGTGGGGCCTACTTGCATTATTAGCACTAATAATTTAGTATATTTCTTTCTCTCTCCAAATTAGTTAACTTAAATAAAAATAATCAATATTACTAATAAAACATAGGAAATCAATTCCTAGGAAATTTAAGTTCTTATGTTATCAACCAAACAAGCATAGGACAATTCCTAGGACATACACAAGGGAAATTATTTCCCATGAAATATGATTTCCTAAGGGAACTCATTTCCCATGGCAACCAAACAATACCTAAGATGTCTAGCAACATACAAGATTGACAATCACGGAGAAAACAGCTGTGGCATGTAGGTTATTGTGTTGAACCTAACGAAGAGCCACAATAGACCCACCATATTCACTGTGCTCTACCCCCCGCCTGACCGGGTAAAAGCGTCGTTCTCACTTTGAAGCATCATTGGAATTTTTCTAAAAGGAAAAATTATTAGCTTCACAGCCTATCTGCAACCTGCTTTACAGGTTTGTCTCCAGAGAAATGTCAAAGTGTTTTCTGGTGCTTGCGTGACTCATGAAGCTGTGTAAAAATACAGATTTTTAGAGCTTGTAGGTATCGATGAGCCTTTGAGAAGGCTTCTTGTCAGCTGAGTCTGAGTTTCAGTACATGATTTGCTTGATGTTTATGTTTTTTTTATATAAGTTGTACTCTTGCAACAGTTGCAAGTGTTTCAGATTTGTTCTGTAACCTGTAAGTGAGGTGGTTGAAGTTTTAGCTTGAGCTGTGCTGGGTTTGGCTTAAGTGTGACTGATATTGCGATCAGTCCTGGCTTCTCTTTATAGCTGGGTCTGATGCTGCATTTATGGGATTTGATTAGTTCCTGTTTTTGGATTCTGCGTATCCAGCTGCAATGTTTTTGTTTAATTGCTTTGTTTCTTATTAGGCTATTTGTTGCAGTTTGGTCATAAAGGCCCTGCAAAATGAAATGTTCCATCCCCAACCCTTCTTAGTATTCTGTGATTGATTATAAATTTCTATAAAATTATTCTTTAGTAATGAAATTTCATCTCGTTTGCGAAAATCCAAAAAAAAAAAAAAAAAAAAAAAAAGGTTTGCCACACGAGGTTAGCCCAATAATCATAATGATTCAACATTTAAAAATGTTTTTGAATTTCTTCAGCTAATAAAGAACATTAAAATTGACCAAATCCTGTACTCATACTTTTGGCAAGAACTTTTTCAATTTTCTTTTTCTTTCTTCTTTTTTTTTTTTTTTTAAATTTAGGTTTTGCATCTAGTTTGAAGCATGTGGTTATGATATCCCAGCATCATTTTATGGTCCTTTCATTTTCTTATAGACCTTGTAGTTATGATATGGCTTTGTATAACAAACCACCTCCCCACCAAACCGCCAACAATAATTAAAAAAAAAAATTACTCTCCTCTTGTTTGATTCATCTCAAAGTGTAGTTCAAAGTATCATCTGTTTTCAATTTATATTTACATAATTAAAGCTATTTATACTTAATCACGTGCATTGAAAATTGTGCAAAAAATTGAATCAAGAGCAAGTTCTGAAACAGATGGGTTATAAAAAAAAAAAAAAAAGAGGAAAGGAAAAGAATGTGCAAAAGTAGCACCCTCTGACAAAGAAAAAAATAATAATAATGTACAGCAAAAGATGACATGAACACATGATGCTTATGAAGCTGCAATTATCAGTTGAAGACCATAAGCATTAAGCAGATAATATAAGAAACCAAGAAGTCAAGACAGCACGCTTACTCTTGTTCTCACACTAGTGAAACCACCATTATTGGCGGTAGATACATTTCCTGAAAAAAAAATAAAATATCAGCATGATTTCAGAAGAGACACAGCTTGACAGAAACACCCAGTTTTTGTTGCAATCTTTCAGACTCTTGAGTCCAAAATATATGTCTACAAAATTTAGCCAAGAAAAGTTCATATCTCATTTGTCATAAACCAGATAAAGGGGATTACAATGCTAATGATAGAAATGAAACAATCAATGATTAGTTCGTGATATGATTGGCTAAATCAGTCAAATAGTCAATGACTAATGATAAAGATGGATCAATCATAATTACAATATATAAATATGATTAATTTTTTTGGCTGTCAATTATCTCCTTAATTGTAGTACTATATCTTCCATCAATCATGCATCTTTCGTATTCAAAATATCCTCCCTCTTTCTCTACTCCTCTCATCTCCAGCAATGACACATCAATGGAAATCTCACTGCCAAGTATGCCAACCACTCTTCAAAGCTTCTAATCAAACTTAAGCTCAACTCTGCCGACAAACCATACCTTGGCAACCAACTCACTAACACTTCCATCACCAACAACTCTATCGATTAATCTTGCTCCCCATATCCTCTCTTCAAAACCATATGCAAAGACACAAAAACAAACATCATGACTTTGAAAGAAGATAATTTCTCACCCACCAACCCCCTCTCCAAACTCACAGGGAGAGACCCTAAACTCAACTATCCTATCATCATTGTTGTGATGAAGCCAACCCGATAATTAGCCTCACTCCCTTAACTTCTATCCAAATTCACAAGGGGAGTCTCTAAAATCAACCATTAACGCTTCATGTCACTTCAAGTACCCGTAGGACACTTTGACACTCCATTTTCACAAAATAGCCAAGTCAGACAATTGGAAATGTAGCCATGCTAGACATGGGTATTCATGTCCAAGTTACATAACTCAACTACAATATCACCATTGATGTTATGAAGCTAATTCTAGTTATTAACCTTCCCTCCACCCTTCCCCCATATTTCCAAACTTAAAAGGAGAGCCATTAGAGCTTCGATGTAGTAGCGTCCAAATTCATACGGTCTTAATCCGAAATTTGGAATTTGATTGCAGCATTGATGAATATACGACCCAATTGTGAGTCTGTTACTATATGGATGGTATGTTCCATTGTTGGTTGGCATGTTTTTAAAAGGCCTAGATCATTGACAAAAAGCAAACACAGAAAAGTCCTCAAAGGGGGGCATATTATGATCTCGGTAAAGGAATGTACAATGCACATGGGAAACAAAGTCATGAAGTGCAGACTATAAGTATGGTAAGAAAGATCATTAGGTAGGTAATTTTTGGAGGAAAGTGGGAAATATTTCAACTTCATCCGAATTCAGGAGGTAAGAAAAATGGGATTTCCATGCATGGTGCATTTTTGCACTTTTTAGACCACAAACACATTTTGGACCCGCTTGTGCTTTCCGAGCAGACTCGCTCGTTCGTCACAAGCCTTGAACACTCCCTTGTTCGCACTCTTGTCGCCAAAAGGCTTAATGCTTCCTCATAATTTAGACGCCCACTTGTAGTTCCACGTGACCACAAACCTTATTCAATCCAAGAATTGTGCTCTTGTCAACTAATAAGTGAGAGAGCGCCACACATAGCATCCAAAATATTTGTACCATGACACCAAGCATATACTTGCTAGATTTATTGATGAACTTAAAAGAAAACTACGCGAAAAGGTGGTTGCCTATGTTCATGGCACAATTAACAATATAATTCAAATGCGAGAAACGTGATAAAACCAAGAACTCTTGGGAATTCATCCTAAAAGAAGAATCTCCACAACTTTAAAAGAAGGCAAACAAGGTCAATATGATGAGCAGATATAGGGTATGTGGGCACATGGCATCCCAATGCCTAGGTTTAAAAGAAGAGGAGCCAGAATCCTATAAGGCTCGTATTTAACATATACATTTATATGAGGCTTTTAAGTTTAGGTGCAATGAATTGATTACACTTTTACCATTAGTTATCGATTGTGATCTTGCTCTTAAAGGGAGGTTCGTATATGCCATCCCTTGGGGGATCGATTTATATAAAATTAAAATAGAAATAAATAATTATAATCAAGAACAACATTTACTTCTTTATAGCTTGTTTTAGTCACATAAATACTTTCATTAGTAAGTGAAACTTAACATCTCTTACATTTTCGCAATTTACATCTCAACAAGCACATACTTTTCGATCTCACACTTTATTATTTCTCCCAAACCACCCCCAAAAAAGCAGGAAAATTGAAAACCGCACACATTACATACTCAATTATAACTTCAATTTTTTTAGTTAAATCACTCATAAAACTTTGAATAAATAATTAAATAGTTCAAGCATAAACTTGAGGGTTGGCAATGAGATGCTCTTCAACAGCCTTAAACTTTAAAAGAAGGCAAACAAGGTCAATATGATGAGCAGATATAGGGTATGTGGGCACATGGCATCCCAATGCCTAGGTTTAAAAGAAGAGGAGCCAGAATCCTATAAACAGTTGATAAAAAATGCTACTTCAAAGGTTATTTGAGTTAAAAACATGTCAAATCTTTAAATGTAACGAGTTAAGACAATGTGATAACAATCACCGGATGAAGGGACTAGATTAGATGCTGTGTCACAACAATAATGATTATTATAGAACAAAAATTATTTGATTAGGAATGACAGGCCAAAAAGTGAAGGGAACATCAGTATTATATCATTAACCAAAAAACAGAGAGTGTTGTCATCATGCATGCTTATTTGCCACAAGTCAACAATGTATAACATTGACAAACTAATGAATACTGGTCCAGCCTTAACAAGTTACACCCACATACACTCAAATGGAATCCTTGGTGTACTTAAAAGAAGTTTGTTTCACACTTTATCTATAAACCATATATTTTGAGCTATAAAAAATCTACTGTATTCCAAGTAAATGCCACCACAGGTTTACAGGGAGGGGCATTATAGATTTATTGGTAGTGCAACATGACTAGTATCTTGAGAAGGAATTAAAGTGAGCTACTTAAAGGAATAATGTATTAGATTGAGCTTATTACGTGATTGCATCGTTAATACAAGCATTTATCAAATTTCCCCGAAATTTTCGTATTTCTCAGTTTTACGCAGATCTGATTTTCATTTTATAATAGTACATGAATATGGCAATCCACAAAGCATAGTATTGGAGTTTCTTCCAAAAATTGATTCAATCAACAACTGCTCTGCTATTTATTATGTAAATAACACCACATACATAATGATTGTACAGTCATACTAACCTCTGAAAATCCCAGCTGCCCCACCATTTTCACCTCCTTTAGGGTCAATTTCAAATGTACTCTGACTAACTCCTCCCATCACAACATCATCTAAAGCACCCCAGGGAAGATCCCTAAATGAATTTCCTGAAAAAATTGCAAAATTTTCATTGTATAATAAGATAAAAACATGCAGGAAAGAGGGCAGCTAACAGATGTTATCTTTCTTGAACCCAAATGCCTTCTTTCCCGGAAAAATTTAAATGAATAATCACTTATTGGCAATCCCATTTTAACTAAATAATACTTCAGATTAGGTAGCAATGAACCAAATTAACTAACAATGGTCTCATCTTTTTACAAATTTCTTTATGCATTCACTCATTGCCATCCATTGAGAAACATGTACAGCTATGAGGAGAAGCACACACATTAACTTAAACTAAACATGGACATCCTCCATTATTTAATAACTGTAGGATTAAACTTCAAGACCTTCATCTAAACATCATGGACTGGTTTACACAAGGCCTCCTTTTCCCTAGGGCTCACTTATTAGAGACAATGGCCATGACGAGAATATATATTTTTGATCCCTTAGCTAGCATATAAAGAGGGGTACCTTCCACTCCAAAAAGCAATTTCCCTTCCTTTAGTCCAACGCACCCTTTTACAGCATTGACTAAATTTCTCATGCCTATATACTCCACCATTTCAGGTGAATCACCTTTTATCTGTTCATGTCAATTTACAAAACCAATGCTTAAACAAGAATATTTTTATGTTAATAAAATAATAATAATATTCACAGGACAATATAAGGTATTTATTCCAACCTCTGGCTCAAAAAACTTGATGCCCTGCACAAAGTAAGAACATCAGGTATGTTAGAGCATAGGGAGAGCAATTAATAGAAACTTTGTGATTTGTGACAGCAATAGTTGATTAATAAGATACAAGATAGTAAAAGGTGATATTGAAAATATCATATTCTGGGCTGGTTAAAGGACATTACAGAGAGAGATTATCCTTACTTGGCTGTATTTTGCTCTGTCAGGAGTATCCCCTTCTTTTGGGCCAACAATGACAGAGGCAGCATTAATCACTTTCTTGACTCCTTTGAAGTATTCAAGAGGTAGAGTGTTTTCCTTGGTGATGTCACCAACAACCTGAAGGTTTAGCCAAATTAGTATAGTTCATAACCAATAAATTATTGGAAGAAATGAAGTACCAAGAAAAACAGCAGACGTTCTTCTTTCAAATGATTTTCACACGCAAAAGGTACGAGCTTAGTATGGTCGAGTTACAGCAATTCAAAACAGAAGTTAATTAGAAGCAGGTAAGCATTAAAAGTCAAACATGTACTCCCTCTGTCCCTTAATTATTGCTCCCCTTTCCTTTTTAGGGTGTCCCTTTTATTTTGCCCCATGCCATTTATAGCTATAGGGGTCACTATTTTCCTCTCACAAACAAGGTTTTGGACCCACCACTATTCTCTCTCATCAAATTTACACAACCAAAAATTAATAAAGTAAACATGCACTATGGGGCAAAAATAAAGGGACGGAGGGAGTAGTACATATTACTAGTCAGAATCACAATGTGTAGCCAATATGTTTCACTGCTACAATAATTCACTTATCTTATATAGTTTCTGTTGCCACTAATCACACAGAAGGTGAAGAAACTTGAGCAGATTTGTTCAAGTTCCTAAATAAAGTTGATAACTTTTAATTATTTTGCCTTTCACAGTCCAAATATATGGGAGAATGTTTTTCTCTGTATTGGTGTAAAAATGGCTCAAAATCCTCTAGGGAATGCTGACCTAGAAAGATACAATATATACAAGCTGAGAGACACTGCCTAGGTTACACCCATACTGCACAAAGATACAAAAGGGACTGCAAGGAGCAAGTTGTACAAGCTGCCAAAAAAAAAGAAAACTGCCCTGCTAATACAGTAAGAGGAAAAACATAGGATCAAAAGGAACTACTCTGTACATTAAGGTTAATTTTCTTCAGAAGGTTATCTGATTTAGCAATTTCACAGGACCAGACTCCACTAAGAGAGTTTCGATAACTTTTAACGTAAGTAAATAGAGAACCATCGTTATCATCGGGAAAGAAACATGAAACATGAAAACAGCAAAACAGTATAGGCTATTAAATCAAGATAGCTGATCAGTAGCTATTGATTTGATATATAGTGACTAATACTTCCATGAAAGAAGGGTTAGAACTAGTGCTACAGTTTTTGCACCACAATTTAAAGGGACAGAAGCATATTTGCAAAAAGGAAGAAACACAATCAACTAAAATAAAGTAAATAATACCATAGATACGTAAGTCAAGTCATAATATTTACCAAGTCGATATCTGGGCCTAACATTCGCCTTGCCTTTTCTTCATTTCTAACCTGAAACAACGTGTTTGAAGAAAATGCTATGCATAAATAATCACAGTCTCAAAGAGGCCATGTAAGTTTATCAGATAAAGATAAATATCTTGTCAACATCGGGGAAAATAATGGAGAATATAATCAAGGACAATATACCAATACTCGAACTGGCAGTCCTGTATTTTGTAAAACATCAACTACCCTTCTACCGACACCTCCAGTTGCTCCAACAACAAGAACTATCCCAGAAGATTCCATTTTCCCTACTGGCTCAGTTGATGGTTGGCCAGACAGCTTATCAACTAGAGATTCAATGAACTGCAAGCAAAAAGAACACAAACAAACAACTTAAAGTGTCATGCTGATATAAGCTTCAGCAACCAATTAAAGAAATTTTGATAAAATAACAAACCTTTAAAGGAGACGGAACTGCATCAAAGAAGAACAATGTTTTCACAAATCTACCAAGGTCCCAAGGTTGATTACCCGTTGCAGCATATATTTGACCTTTAATTAATCTTCTAGGTTTATAAAATGACTGCTTCTGGTAAATAAAGAGATCTTGTCTATTCTGAAGTTGAAGAAATGATTTACCAAGTGACAAGGATGGCACTGATGTACATAACGTTCTTCTAGACAATTCTTTCTTCACAGAAGATGATTTACACTGCAATTCAAAGATAAACCATCTTTACAAGGACAAGATGGTTTAGACGAACATATAGAAACTTATAGCAAATGCACGTTGGCATGAATGAATAAAGGAAACACTCCTATGCTGGCCGTCTCAGGAAGAGAATGAAAACTGCTCAGAGCATCTTAAACAGACAGCCTCGGAATCTAACCTAGGGAACCTAATGCCTAACACTTATGTCTTGCACTTGCACCCACAAAGCACCCTACTTCTATCAAGTTCACCTACAGCAGGCACAAGGGATAGAATTGATAAGCTCAAGTAATTATGTTAGAAGGCATATGATGCATGGGGAAGTTAGTTGTAATGAGAGAGTCATCAGAGAAAGAAAGACTCTCAAAATTGTAACAAATAGGGTGAGAGAAACCATGTATGAAGAAAGCATTTTGACATATAGTGGTATTACATACAAGAATGTAAAATATAACTGGGAGAGTGCACAGCCTTTCCAATTCTTTATGTTTACACCTTTTGGGGGAATATCTAAATACAAAGTACAATCATCCTTTATATCCATTATATTCATCTTCTATTTCAGCTAACATCGTCTGCAACTCTTCTTTTTCTTCTTTGATCTCTCCTTACTTCTCTCATAGTTTTATCATCTCAAATCAGCTTAGTACTACAAGAATTAACACACAAAACATGCTTCCCCGTTACATATTAGTTGACACATTTTAACTTTTAATTCACAAACTCTGCTTGATTAGCTTTCGTGATGTATAGATAAGAAAAAGCATGATCATGTAGGATCTTGTTAGGTTCTTATCTTGTAATTTCATAATACACATTGATAATTAGAGATGTTTACGGTTGAATTTAAACGTTGGCAAAAATAATAAGTCTTTTGCCACTTGCTAGATAACGCTCATTACTTCGTATAGTTTGAGAAAAGAGAAGCAAGAAGTCATTGCATATGCACAAGCTAAAATTGCAAACACTCCATAACAAAATTTCAAATTAAAGAATCTAATTAATTAATGACAAAAACAAAAGGGGTTTGACCAAAATTAATTTATCATTGAATGGGTGCATAAATCAAATGTGACAACAGCAATAGCATAAATTAACAAGCTACAAACTCATATCTTTACTTTAACCCCTAATTTTATGCATTAATGAAAATTCAAAGAAAGATCAAAGAACAAAAGTATGTTAAATTGTAGAAAAGACAGGATTTTAACTCAGAATTATGTACCTGGAAGTTGAAAATAGGAGCTGGAGAAGATGATAGAAGCTTCAACGAAGAAGAACATTCCATTTTTGTGATTAAAGAGAGTGAATGAACCAAAGTTGCCCCTCCATATAATTCGAATGTGGAGGAATAAATGTGAGCCACACGACGCCACGTACTCAAGTCTCCAACTAACGGGCACTTGTTAGTTGGAGAAGTGCATCCATATACTCCCTTAATCCCCTTGTCTTAGAGGTGATTAGCAATGGCCCCAACCCCACCGCCTATCTGGCCTATCTTGGAAAAAAGTGCGAGTTTGAACAGCCCTTAAAAACACAATTTTTGGTCCAAAATGCACCACTCGAATGACCCCAAAAAAAATCGTCAGACATTATTTTGCGGGTTTTCGTACAAGATTTTAAACTTAGGCTTTATTTAGTTCATTTTATTTTTATTCCATTCGTTTTATAATAATCGCAATATTTTTCTTTTTCATTCGTTTTATAATATTTACAACACTTCGTTATTTAATAAGGACTCACAACTATTTTATTATTTTTCTCTACTACCAACCCCACTCATATTACTTTTTTTTTTATTATTATTATTTTCTTTCATACGAATAGTTAAATATATCCCACTAACTATACTATACATTAAAAAAATTCTCTTTTTGACCCCACCCTATAATTTTTCTAAAATTTTGTGTCAACTCTACTGTTGCGATTATTATGAAACGAAGGGAGTACTTATTTTAGTTCAGATCAGGTTAGAGCAAAAAAAATAAGTTCACACCAGATTAGAAAAAATAAGTTCTCACATACTTTATCGTTTTATGTGTGATTTTTTTATTGTTGAATTACCTTTAATTCCGTAATTAAAAAATTATGAAAATCTTTTATAACTAATACTAAAATAACAACTGCTTACATCATCCCTTTCCCCAAATTGTACACGTGTTAGCTTCTCCTTTAATTTTTTTCCTGCATAAACTTTTTTTTTTCCTTTTTTTTTTGTTTTTCTTTTTTTTTGGATAAACTAAATACTGGTTGCAAAGTAATTTTATAAAGTACATTATCTTAAGGTACGTATAGCTAATCTTATGGAAAGCAAATATGAATCCTGTATATATGTGATTACTCCGTCTAATTACAAAGTCCACTACATAAATTTTATTTTGTTTGTATTATTTTATATTTTTGTAGTTTGATTTATGTTAATACATAAATTTACATGTTTTGAGTGATAATATGACTTGAAAATGTACACAATTATAAATTCTTTTTATTATATTCGTGCATCGCACGGAATCTACTCTAGTTACATATTAATGAAATACACACTATCACAAATATAACAAGACCCAACTTGATATAATTTTTCTTTATAGATTGTTTTAGGTCAACGTTTTGGTCAAATTAGACAATTAGATCAGCTCAAACTAGACCAGATCAGATCGTAATAGACCAAACCAGATATGTTCAGATCAGCAAAAATAAGGTGAACTAAACAACCCCTTAGGTTCGGACTTGCTCTAATTTGTATCACCTCAGTCTGTCCCTTTTTAAACTATGTTTGGTTCACATTAATTTTTCTGCTATGGACATATTTCTAACCTGGGTTGATTTGAAGTTAAATTTTCTAATATGATTTTTTCAAAAGTAAAATTATGCGTTGTCATCATTAAATGTTTGGATTTTACACATTTGTCGATGCATATTTCGTATCATAAATATTGTTAATTACATATTGGTAGTAAAATATTGAAAGGTTTCTCTAGTAGTATTAAATTAGAGAAGGTATAGGGTGCGGACTGCCGCACGCAAATTATGCGTGTGGCAGATTGGCTGATATATTTTACTTGTTGGCTGATAAGTTTCATGTGTTGGCTGATATGTTTTATTTGTTGGCTGATATGGTTTTTGTGTAGGGTAATATATTCCTTTTATTGGCTGTAGACACCTAAAAATGTCTCCCCAAAACCAAATCCGATGATGAACAACCTTTTACCGTCATTATTGGTCGGGTCGAGTATTTAATCTCGAGAGTGCTTAAAACTCATATTCAGTCAAACATATTCAGTCCACAAATCAGTCCAAGTATTTAGTCACATTTCAGCCCAGATTCTTTTTAATTCATTCCGTTTTATTTATTAATCCCGATTAGTAGATAATAAAACCCTAAGCCTGAAATCAGTCCGGAATAGCTGAAACGACGCCTAATTATCACGTGCTTAATGCTTAAGTAAAATATTAAAATGAATTTGGACGGAATTCTGGAAAAGAGATTTACCGTGTCACGGCAGAAATGCCGCGTCACGACAATCTCTGCCGTGTCACGGCATATTGCACCTTGTCGCGGCAATTTCTGCCATGACGCGACAATTTTCTAGGGTTTCTTCGCGGCGCATTTCAATTCTAGGGTTTCATGCATCACCCTGCTCATTTCCTTTATAAATACGAGGCAGCTTTCTCAGTTTCGAGGCATCAAATAACTTCTCTTCTTCTCTTATACACCAAATCATTCTCTCTTTCTCTCTTATGATCTAGCCTAAACACAAGTCTTCCCTATTCTTCCACAATACATTCCTTAAGCACTCTCCGGAGTCCGTACTTTACCCGAAATTCTAAACTTAAACCAAGGCGTGAAAGGTAGAACTGTTTAAGGGGTTGGCCCCAAATCAACTTTACTTTAATTTGATTTAATTTCCATTGTTTTTTATTAATTTTCCTTGAAGTTACTAACGCGTTTATTGTTTTATAGTTGCAAGCAAAAGCAATCAAAGTAAGGGGATCATGTTCCTTTTATATTTCTAATGATTTTTATTATGTTTTTCATATACTAATCGTTATGATTATTGTTGAATTTCTTCCAATGTTGATATTGGTTATATTTATTGATCACCATATTGCATGTTAAAGGGAATATGTAATTGAATATAGTTCCTTTTTAATCTTGTTGTTTAATCAAGTGATCACTTTATTTTAGTTTTATGTGTTGCATTAACATTCAACCAATTTAGCTTAATAATAGTTTGGAGCAAATTAAATCTTTGTTTTTGTGCCTTTAAGATCGCAGGAATTACTTTTCCTCGAGTAAAGGCCAATACGGGCGAACGTGACTCCATGACTCACTTCGTACCCATCATCCCCGATCCTCCTTTCGTGGTTCCGAATCATATGGAGTTAGTAATCTCATGCATTATGAAAGAGGTATAACCTTCACGGGTCAATCGTTTGTTGCCTATCATTGTCCCTTTATCGTGGTTGCCTTAAATGATCCGTGAACGGTTTACAAGTTCCTTAAAAACTTGTTGGCGACCCCCTATTTTTCTTTGTCCCTAATCGTATGTCAATTCGCACTTCCTTTGATTGCCAAGCATATTCACAACATACTTAACTAGGTGCGCTTCGAATGACGCCTACATTGGTTGATTTATAATTTTTTTTTTATTTTTATTTTTTGACATGTTCCTTTTGTTGGCTGCTATTAGACATCAGTTGGCAGATATATATCTTTGGCTGGCTGATATCATTATTTTGTTGGCTGATATGTATATTTTAATTGTTGGCTTATATGTTTCATTGTGTTAGCTGATGTGTTTATTTTTTTGGCTTACCTTTTGCTTCTGTTTGCTGATTTCACCTTTTGTTGGCTGATATGCTTCATTTGTTGGCTAATATGTTCCTTCTGTTGGCTGATATGCATCTTTTATTGGCTAATATGTTCCATATTTCATTTGTTAGCTAATATGTTCCTTGTGTTGATTGATACGTTTTTATTAATGTCTGATATGTCCCTAATGTTGACTGATATCAGACATCAATTGGCTGATATGTTCATTTTAATGGCTGATATGCGTTATTTGTTGGCTAATATGATACTAGTACTTTTATTTCCTTCTCTCCCCTCTTTCCCCCCTCTTCCTCTCTTTCTTTCTCACGCCACCACCCAACAACTCGCGACCCTAACCTTAGTCACCCTAACCCACGACCTAACCTCACGCCACCACCCAACCAGGCACCACCCCTAACCTTACGCCACCACCCAACCAGGCACTACCCCTAACCTCACGCCACCACCCAACCAGCCATCACCCTAACCTACGACCCTAAGCTCACGCCACCATCAACCAACCACCACCCTAATCTCACTCACCGCACCAACCCACGACCCTTAAACACCAAACCTGTTACGAGCTCAGCCACGAAGCCAGCGAGGCAACAGCCAGCCGTAGCCAGGATGAGTGCCCAACAACGCAAACCAGCAGCGAACTCCACCATACCAGCCGATGCTTCACATCTACGGTTTCAATTGCAAATCCACCATTTATGCCCCCATTTTCAGATCATCATCGTCATTCACCATTACTGTCTTCATCCACCCATCGTCGTCTTCATCGTCATCGTCGTCTTCATCGTCATCAGCATCACCTCCGCCGTCGCACGAAACATATTGGGTGCGGACCGCACCCAATAGTTTGTGATTAAATTAATAACATCGTTAATTACACGAACGATGGTTCAGTGCTTCCAACAAAACCACCTTAAATTAGTAGCCAAAAAAGCGTATAATGGTATAAAGTATGGGAAAGGGTGCAACACATGTCATAATTGAGACCGGTAACCCCTTTTCTGATGGAATATAGGGTCAGCAATTTCACGTATAACACATGTTGCACCCCATTAATTTGCCATAATTTCTATTGTTTCAGACTTCAGTTATCAGTTTAAGTTAGTTTTGGTAGATGCATCAAAGTTGTAGTTCGTGCTGTTGAGATCAATTTTGTCTAATAAGTTTGTGTTTTAAAGGAACTATCCTAAGAAATCAAGTCATTCAAAAATTAAGAAATCAAAATCAGAGATTGATAATAACGGGTCGGGGGTTAATAGAGGGGAATGGTTCATCCAATAATACTCTAATAACTTTTTTCTTTATAGATTGACTTAATTCTTAGCTCATGGCTAAGGCATTCAAGTGATTCAACCAAGCACGCATATCAATAAGAATACGTAGCTAGATAATGGTTTTATGATTGATTAATTAATTACTAATCACACATATTCATAGAAATTACAAAATCAGTTAACCAAAATCATATCCC